GCCCGGCCCGGGTGGGGCTGAGGTGAGGGCTGGGCCCGTTGTGTCCGCGGTAACGATTCGCGCTGTGGTGAAAGTTGTCCGTCGTCTCGGCGGGTCAGTGCAAGTCACTGATTTACCGGATTCGACCGAGCTTGCTTGTAGGTGCACGTGTGAAGTGGGTGTTTTTATTAGGGATCTACTGCTGCACTTGCAGTCAGAGTTTAAGTGTATTTTAGCGTGCTGGTCCTGTTATAAACCCAAGGTTATGCCTTTTCTAGCGCTGTGCGTTTGTGCTCTTATTGTCCGCATCGCAGCCTGCTGTTCAGCTATTCATGACCCTCCAAGACTGCTGTTTCAGGCTTTCCTAGTGAACCTTCTTTATCTTCCTTTAGAAAAGGTTGTTTTGCGTTGGCGGGCCCATCTCGATAGAACTGTTGTGGAACAAATATTGGTGTTTATTAAAGAGGCGAACCTGAAACTTCAGCATGGAAGTAGTTCTTATTGAGAAATACTTTTGAATTTTTCAACGACTATAAGGGGACAATCAAATTTCCTGGTAAAATTGAAAAGTCTACTTGCTTAGCATGTCTTTTCTGGTATTTAATAATAAAATTTTAAGCAACACTTGCTATAACTATCATGGCATGTTAATTAGCTAAAGTGTGCGATATAAACAGTACTGACAGTATGTAGACACTGAGGCAAAAACTGAATGCTTTATGAAGCAGGGGTTGCACAGTTTTTAAGCTCTTGGCACAGACTTTTTAAGGTTATGTGCATGTTGGGGTCAGTTTAATACTATATCCTCTAGAGGTGTGTATGGGGACAAAACCTGTAATGTTACTTGAAAGATAAATTGAATTAACTGGGTGATGGGAAATGCTAAATCTACATAGACAACAGTCTCTGTCCCCCATGTAAATACTTTGTGGTAGTTTTTAACTCAAGAATGACACAACTCTCCTCTGCTTGTCACTTCCATAGGAACTGGCCTGAGACTTCTCTGGTCTCATGTCCTCTTTCTAAGAATAGCTGATATCAGGTGATTGAGAAAAAATTAATTTATAGGTGTTAAACATGGGATAATCCTTTCTACCAAATTAGGCTCCACTGCTGTTTTCTATGGCTGAGCTTGGTTTAAAGCTGAATGTTCCTGTAAGAGGGTTCTGCTGTTATTGATCATCCTCTGAATAAAAAGTCCAGCGTCTTGATTCTTGTTAATTTCTTGTGGCAGTAAGTACCAGTTTAAACATGTGAAAAATATTTTATTCTCTTTTTTTGTTAATTCAAAGCAGCAAAATGAATCTTACAGCAATGCATTGTATGCACCCAGGCTTCCTCTGTAGGCTGGCAGTTGGCCTGACCAGCTTCCATAGCTAACCCATTTTCTATCTTGGGTAGCATTCATTTTGGATGTCTCAAGGGTGACTGGTTGGTAGGTAGTCCTACTTAAGTCCAACTAGGAGGAGGCAGAAAAACCTCCTTCACTAAATCTCTTTCATTGTGGTACTAAACACAAGCATGTGAGCAAGCAGAATTAGTCATGTGTGGAATAGGCTGCAACTGCATCAGTTAACTAAAGTACTTAATCATTTGGAAGTTAGATGAAAAGACACTTTAGAGTGGAACAGAAGCAAAACCTTCTGCTTTGTATTATTTATACTCTGCATTCAGCTGAAGATACCTGTATCACCAGAATACAAGCTATTTGGTAGGCTCCACAAGTTTGCCTTGAACTCTGCTGTATTTCAATTCTATGTAATTCTTTCTCATAAGTACTGTAAATTACCAGATTTTGAAGAGGAACACTTCTTAGTCAACACATTGACCCAAAATAATAATAATCTCCATAGTGAGTTAAGTGTCAAGTATGAAATTAAGTATGTATCTTATGAAGTCTTCCCATGGAGCTGAGTGTTAGAAAATAAGCAAATTTTACACAATGGGCTTAATGTTCACTTTTTATGTTCAAGAATAGTTACTATTATAGGGATAGACATTGTCCAGAGTAATGTTTGCTGCTGCAATAATACACTTTTCTAATGATTATCTGCAAGGTAACTTGTATTACCCGCTCTGATCAGCCAGGCAATAGACTTCTTCCAAGCTAGTTTGGGGTTTTAAAAGTTATTGATTTTGAAGGCCATTTACATTTCACTAGCTTTTATTTAAAAACAAAAACAAAGAAACAAAAAAACCCACACCAAAGATCAGCTCTCCTCACCCCTCTGCCAAATTCAGCTGTTGCATGTTGTGACTTCCATAACTTGCATGTGATAACTTATGATAGTCCTGTCTTTAAAGCTGGAAAAAGGCTATATGGTCTCTTGTACAGAAACTGATAGTGCTGCTGAAAGAGGCAGTTCTCTGTTCCTTCCCCACTGCTCACTTGCTTCCTTGTGGCTTCAGAGGAAAAAGATTAGGGAACAAGTAAAGCAGAAAACTGTGCTCACATCAACTCTCTTTTTTCTTCAACATTGGCAGCATATCTAATGGGAGTAAGGCTCAGGCATTTCTAAAATCTAAATGGCTGTGTAACGGCTATAAATCGCTTATCTTGTGTTCATGCAGGAGTTTATACCTCATTGTACTTGTTGATAAGGCAGTACATTCTGTGCCTTGATTATGGAGTATTGTTGCTTTTCTCCAGTGCCAAAGTATCTTTTACTTCAAAAGTTTATGTTCGAGATTCTTGTTTTCTAGATTGGTGGTGGACTCCACAGCATGGTTACATTTTTTTTGATAAAATGACACTTGAAAATACCATCTTGTGTTATTAGGTTCCTAATTTTAAGTGGAAGATACAGAGCATAAACAGCTTTAGTCAACATTATGTCTGACAGAAGAACTGGTTTCTACCAGTTCTGACTGTCACTGGTAGGCTTTTGCTGTGTGTTCTTACTTCAGTTGCTTTTTGCTACAGGTTCCTCAAACTTCAGGTGTATGTATCAGGATATGTGTATCTTGAATGTGATCTTGTGTATCACTTCATAATAAATGTTATGTGTGAAAACCTCTGTAGTTCTGAAGCTGAAAGCATCTTGCTTTTGGAAGTGGAAAGAAAAGGATAAGCTAATAAATATTCAGACTTTAAAAACTGAAAAGAAAGAAAGAGTTGGAACTTGTTCAGTGGTGCTGCTTCTGTTTTCATGTAGAGGTAAAGTTGCTACAGACACCTTAGGTTGCTTCTGTTGTATGCTTTCAATGGTCAGTGGTAGGTTATCTCACTACCTGTGTGCCCTAAAATGCTGAGATGTCTTTTCTTTAGACATGAAGTGTAATACCCTTGTAGCAAAGACATCTTTGTTCAGACCAATCACCTTTCCAGTCTCCAAATCAGAACATATATGAATGTAATTTTGCTCTTAATCTTGAAGAGATATAAGAGAGAAAATGTTAATCTCATGTGGTAACGTGGAAGTGCTTCTGTTAATGAATTCAGTCAGGTATTTAGCACAGTCCCAGTATTGAATACAGTGTGGCATCTTAATGCTTAAATTTAGAGCAGAAATGGACATACTGACAGTGTCTCAATGCAAACAGAATTTGATGTACAGCTCACTGGTTCATTATAAATGGGAAAGCTAGGTGAAACAGAGTAAGGCTCTGAAACTCCATTATTTCCTCAGCTGTTGATAAAAGACAGTGATTAAAGTTGTATAAGAGAGTGTATACCTTCAATTAGATATTTCTGATGAGATAATTATTGCTGTCATGTAAAGCATAGTCTCAAGCTTGTAGCCATTTTGCTTTAGCCACTGTTCTTCACACCAAAAGTGAGGAAACTGAGGCATGCGCACTCCCCCAACCACTTCTTGGGGCTGCAGCAAATGCGTTTCAATAAATGCTTTAACTTGGTGTTGCTGTCAAAAGGCTGCCTTTTCACAGCCTTATTTGCAGTGGTTTATGTGGTTGTAGCGTGAATTATGCATATGGTAAACTGTTAATTAGCTGGGCTCAGCTTTACAGCCTGAACAGGTCTCCCAGCTCTCCATGGCCTTGTGAACAACTCGGGGTGGAGGGGCAGGACTGGTAGCCCTGTAAGCTTAATGCCCATTAGGAGAAGAGGAGTTAGGAAGTTGTGGTTAGTGTTAACATTACTGCACTGTTTCTAGCTGTGCTTTAATATAGAGAGATCTGGTGTGGTTAGAGCATATGGCATTCAGCTCAGTAGCGATGCATCTTCTCTAAAGCATCAGTATGTGTGCAGGGCACTGTAGAGTGTGACAAATGTTCTGGCATAGACATAATTCAGCAAGTCTGTTACGTGATGTTTTGATATTGATTGTTGTGCTCTTGTCCCAGCACTGTCATTTTCTGTTCCTTGAAAGTCTGATCTGTCATGGAATAAATAAAGCCTAGCAATTACAGCAAAGTTCTGCTGGCAGAATGTACTCGCTTCACAGCTGGTGGTTTTCTAAGAGTTTGTGGCTATTGAACTGCCTGGGAAATAGGGGTGTCTAGCTATGGATACTACTTTTGCCCTATGCTTAAATTGCTTAAATGCACTTTATGTGATAAATTATGGAGTGCTTTGTAAG